TCGAAAAGATTTTCTCCGTTCAAGTTTGTTCGTGGGATAAAAGAAATTAAACAAAACGCAGCCGAGCTAAATTTTATATAGAACTTCCAATTGGAACATATATACTTTCTCACTCTAGCATATGGAAATTTGCGAGACACTCGAGGTGCAATATAGTCTATTTCGGTTTTACAAACTCATAGCCTTCTGTTCGCGAATGTCGTCAAAGTAACGAAAATGTGTAAAACCTGCATTGCCAACTGTATTTACACATTTTTTTGCAATGTTTAGCACATCTCATTTTAATATTTAAATCAATCGTGTAATCCAGAAAACTACTTCAGTCTTTCAGCCACGCCACAAAACTCAATATTTAAAGAAAAACCTGCACTTACATTCCTAGGATATGCGATAAAGGAAAATACGATCAGAACTTTCTTCCATCGAAATTTTTTGCACTTTTGACAGAGAAGGTTCTCTGCTTCTGGCACAAGTTCAATAAAACATGTGGTTGGAATCGCTGGAAAGCAGAGTTGCAATTACATACGTCACTGCATTAATATGGATCTTTGTTCGGCTTGGTAATGAAAAGTTTAAAGATGGCTTGGTTTCAAGTTTAACGAAAAAGGACGTTTCCTGTGCGTCCCAAGGCACAGTGCGTACCGTTATACTTGAAACAAATTAAAAATGGCACACATGGTACCTGGGCGGAAAAAATTCAAAAAGATAAAAAGTTAAAACAAATTTTTTCATGTTTTGTCTACTTATCTATTTACATGGGGCTCTGAAAAGACAAAGCCAATTTGATTTATTTTGGAACGAATTTCTGTCATCCCTTGTCAAGCTTGGATGTCACAAACCAGAGATCGAAAATAATCGGACATTTATTGCTGTGTCACAAATTGTCATTTATTTCTTGTTATAGTCAGTTTTTTTAGCAGCCGCTGTGGTGTAGTGGTAAGCAGTGCACGCTTCCACTCCGCAACGCCTGGGTTCAAGCCCTGGTCAAAGCAACATCGCAAAAAAATTAGAAAAAAGGATTTTTCTTAACAGCGGTCGCCTCTCAGCAGGCAATGGCAAACCTCCGAGTGCATTTCTGCCATGAAAAATAGGCGGAGTCGGCGTAAAACTGTAGGTCCCTCCCCTTTGTGTGACAACATCAAGGCATACGTCACAAATGGGAGGAGAAGCTCGGCCAAGCACTTATATATGATTAAATGCCAATATATTGGCCCGTAGTCATAGTCAAAATAAAGTCGACTTTAAAGTTAGTTGCAGCTTTTTGACATAATTTTCAATGGGATATCTGTCAAAAAAGCTGCAACTAACTTTAAAGTCGACTTTATTTTGACTATGACTACGGGCCATTATTATTATAGTAAATTTGAGAAATTTACGAAGTTTACGAGGCTTTTACGAGTTTAAGGGAAGACCCCTACTGAGTGAGGTGCTTCGGTAGTTTGCTTCTAATTAGTATAGTTTGTTTATTGAAGGGAAGATGGGCCGAAAATCAAGCGTTGAATTCCGCAGCATATTTGACTTGGATACACAGTATATACAGTAATAAACCTTTTCGCAGTTTTTCACCAATTGGTCCCCGGGGAGTACTTTTGCGTTGTATGCAGCATCTTCGTTTTTCGCGCACGGCAACACTTATACCATGTTCTGACCGACAACGAAAACATTTTGAAAGCGAGTTTTGGAATTGTGGGCTGAAAGCTGTTCACACCGGTTGTTAGAGTTTTCGTTGACATTTCTTACATCCTCTGATTACAGTTTGGCTACACAAAATGAAAACCAAAATGCTTTTCCCTCATTTTCTTTTCATTAGCAACCTCTTACTTTCATTCTTATTTTACTTTTGCCAGCCAATTAACAATAAATCCGAAATGGCGTATTAAAGATGGTAAAATATGACTTCCACTTCGATAAATAATCGAAAAAAACTAGTGAAGACACCTATTGGAATGAGTGGAACGTGAGTTTTCAAGTAGTTTTCAGCGAAAACTGGTTTTCGTTTGACAGATTTTACATGGACGAAAACACAGTTTTTAAGTCGAAAACCAGTTTTAGCAACGAAAACATGTTTTCGATGTCGGTCCGAACATGGTATTACTGTGGAGAATTTCGCCTCATGATTAGAAAAAGGTTTTTTCGAGGATAAAATATATATAAATATGTGTAAGTACATAATTAACGCTTGTGTTTCTATAAACTGGAAACACGTCGTATTTTTATTAAAAAGCGTGAATTATGTGAATTTATCAAGGAAATCTCTAAATTTCCAAATATATTTAAGCCTTTGTTCCAAAAAAAAAAAAACAAAGTTTGTTTAGTTATAGAGACTCCAATGCCTGCCAGCGCATCCGCCCAGACAGCTCATTAAGCACGCCCAAGTTGCAGCGGACCTGCTCAAAAATACTTAACATCGAAGTATAGAATGTCACAAATATGAATCATACATACATACAATAGCAATCGCTATGAATTGCTACCGTATAAATTTAAGACACGCACTTGGTTGGAGACTGCGTTGGTTATGGTGGTCATAAGTTGAGCCAACGCATTCAGTGGTCCATTACCCGGAGCTGTTGTAATATGGTGAGAAGATTTGAGTGAGCCTCACAAGCCAATACCTCTGGCTACAAGCTGGATATCTGAATATTGGAAAATAAACAGCAATTATCTTTTTAAAATGATTACTCTGCCTTAGTACGGTTGTTGCTCCCTTTCATACCACAGTAATTTTGTATGCAACTCTGTATCAGCAAAATTCATGCTCCTTCTCAAGATCACGTAAGAACGCGACGTTGTATTTGTAACTGTATAGTACGGACTAGAGATGCCAAAATATCAGGAAAATTGGAATCCCGGGATTTCGGTATATTTTTTAGGTTATCCCGGGATCCGGGGATTTATTCCGGGATTCAAATTGAATCATAAATTTTATGAATATAAGTAAAAATTCAATATCTGAAAGCATTTAAAAATACCATTAAATAAAACTATTTAAAATTTACGATAAACTGATTGTAAAACTCATATATCGCTAGCTTAGAGTGAAAAGTTCCTAACTTCTCTTTTTGTGAAAAATCATATTTTTATACAGGGGGCTGATAAATTAAAAATGCATCGTTTCGAAAAGGGTAAAGGTCCTTGTTTTATGTTTTCTCGTTTATATTCATTGAAAGGAAGATTTGTCAAGGCCAAAAAAAGCTCTGAAAATTCGATAAGGCCAAAAAAGTTCTAAATCTTTTAATAAATATCGAATCCCTCCGATTCGTATGGAGTTTTGCTTTGCTTTAAACAGGCAAAAATGTTATATTCAAAGTTTTGCGAAATACTTGAAGAAAATGTCTATACGAAGTTTTTTCCTCTCCTGTACAATTTTGAAATTGGGACTTAGCTACTTTGCACTCTGCGCTAGCGATGTTTATTAAAGTAGACAAATTTTAAAGTAAAACATTTTTTTAATTGTATTTAAAAAACCATGTGATTGAGGAACGTATACATCACAAATAATAATGTAAATACCAGGTACTTTTGAAAGTGACGATTAATAAAAAAAAAACATAAAACAAAAATATACAAAAACAATTTCTTTAAACATGTTTATTCTACTCTATAAAGAAATGGCGAATGGAGAATTTTTTGCCATTTTTTTCGCAATTTACTAGAAATTTTGAGGGTGTACGAGTCAAACGGATCTCAGAATCGGATTCAGCGGGTCGAAATACATGTTGGTAGTTGGGTCTGGTTAAAAACACACACCCCTTTTTTGCCAGTGTTGTTATTATTGTTTTCGTAAAAGTAGCAAAGCATTCAAAGCGGAGTCTTCTAAGCTTGACCTGCAGTTTTTACATACAAAACCTACTGACGAAAAACATTTTTCGGCATCAACACTTTTAGGCTGAACTGTCAAAAGGAAGACGTAATCCATTTGAAGATAATGACTCCTATCTCCTCCATTACAAAATATTTGAACTTCTTTTACCTGCACGTCGGTCAAATTATAAGTTTTTCGATTTGAGGAAGTTTTGAGTATATTGATCTAAAAAATTATCTAACTTTTCCTTAAAACTCTCTGTTTCGTTCACATTAGCAGCGCTATGAGTAAATTCAGTGGTATCTTCTTCAAAAAAGGCTCAGACTGCAATTTAAAATTACAGTTTCAAGCTTTTTGTTAATTGCAGTCAAAACGGCATTTTACAAAAATCATACTTCAAAATTCATAAAAACATTCTTACTATCAATTCGATATTTCAAAATTTTTGGGATCCCGGGATTAATGCAAGCAAATCCGGGACGTCAAAAGCACCGGGATCCCGAGATTCCGGGATTGGCATACCTAGTACGGACTGAAGACATGATGTTGTATACCAAATGAAAGCTTGTTTTTATATACTGTGGAAATTTTTATATATATTTAATACGGCAATTTTTAAAAAATCGTGTTTGTTTAAAAAATTTTGTAACTTTTTTTTAGTTCAATTGAATTGTTATTATAAATTTATAAGATGTATATAATATTTGTATTTTGTATTAAAGTAATTTATATTTCCTATTGAATGACACAAAAGATTCTAAAATCCGTGGTTTCGTTTACCAGATATTTGGATTTAAAAAAAAAAATTATGAATTTGACCTTTGACCCGTGGTAACTCCTGTACCCTACAAGAATTGTGTGATGGAAACTAACACATTCTCATTTATCTTACTAACACATTTGCAAATTTTGCGTTGGTTAAAAAGAGACCAATATATAAGGCCATAAGTTGGAAGAAGACGGAAGATCATATGTACACAAATGTTTACATCAGATTTTTCACACTGCCCTTTAGAATGTGATAGAAACTTGTAGGTAGCCAGTGACAGAAATCTCTATCAGCCTTGCCAGTCAAATGATTTGTCAAATGATGGTCACTGTTCTTGCAGGGTAGTTTTCGGTTATCATCAAAAAAAAAATTATACCATTATATTTGCTTCAAAAACCTCGTCCGCCGTCCTTGTCCAAAATTTGTCGCCCCGGTTATCGTAATCGTGCCAATTGCTCAGCTGACGAACCCGCTTTCGCAAACTTTCTACTGAAAACGAGCTACAAATGCAACCTCCCGTTTTTGCGTGATGAAATTTTAGGTGAAGCTTCTTTATTATCAGGCAGTAGTTTTCGAGCGCTGGTTACCCTGGCAAACCTTAAATCTACTTTGCAACCCTGCGTTTTAGTAGTTGGCAACATCATCAATTCTAAAAGGAATATTTTTCTTCAAAAACAAAGAACAGTAGTGCTTTCCCTTCTGCTAAATTTTAGATTAGTAGTTGTGCGAGAAACATTTACAAATATACATCACAATTGCTACATTTTGCATACTGTAACAACTAGGAATAGTGGTTTATTAGTGTAACTATTCGCAAGTGTGCATTGCAAATTTTAGATATTTTCCATCCTTTGGAAAAAATTTTGGTGTCGTTGAAAATATTTTAGCCGGAGTGAGTGAGACAACAATCGTGAATGGTTGTCAGAAACAGCTGATTCTTGATTGCATTTCGGTACGCACGGAAAAATGCAAGAAGGAGAAGGCAGAACTTTATGAGCAGGACGACACTAATAAAAACTGGTAAAAAATTTCCCAAAACAAAAGCGCGCGAAAGAGGGGAAAATTGCGCGCTAAAACATTGCAAATGAATTTCTGCACAATTAAAAATATCAGAAATTTTTGCAAGAAATGAAAACTAAATTAAGGAGAAAATTGGAATGACTTTAATTGATTAAAATATTACCATAGATACGAATGACAACGCAAATTAGAATTATAAAATCCCATTTTAGTTGCACTCCAATGGCATCGGGTGCTGTTTACACATACCTACACAAAATTACACATCCAAACGGTGTGCGATTTAGCACTTTCGTTGAATGCTTTTGGAGGGAAAATGCGTGTCAGTCGAAATTTGAGCGGGATAAAGTAAAGACGTGGGAATTGGCAGTGAGCTGTAGACCATAGATAAGACGTGCACTTTTGTGAAAATATATAAGAACTAATTACAAGGACAATCAAGCTCAATTAAAACGAATTAATACTCATAAATTGTATTATGTCGCAACCTTCGATAGCCTCATATTTTAATACGCGTAAGCGAGTCGCTACAGACGAAGCAGCTACTATAAAAAGTCGGGTAAGTGAGTGACATGCATGTTATGTATAAGTGTACTAGGTGATATCCTTTGGCGTCCTTGCTGGATTGAGCAAACGGACATTTTGTATGTGAAGGCATTTCGCCCTTTTAAATTGTTGGCTCTCACTACGCGCGTGCATACATATATGTATGTATATATGTGTGTGTGTGATGTAATTCTAAATACACTCTTAGAAGGCAATGTGCTCTTAAATATTGGAATACTACACTATAAATTTAAATAAGGTTTCAAATTGAAGTGAAGATTTTTAAATTTACTAATGATGTTTACTTTAATAGCGTTTAACGGACGATAATACGACTCCAGCTCCCAGCGCTACAAGAAACCAAAATGATGACGATGATATCGCTGCTACCAAGGCTGCAGCTGTTGGAGTACGGACACGATCCGGTCGCACTATTAAACGCACCGGTACACAGCCAACCGCGGATGTGCCTGCAAAGAAGCAGAGTAAAGTGGAACAAGCGCCACTGCAACAAAAAACGCTTGTACAGTTCATTAGGAAAGGACCATTGTCTCCACGTAAGAAACCAGCAGCTATTAATGAAATGCAGAAGAAAAATGAAGAGACACCCAATGGGAATACAGCGACAAAACTGGCCTATGCCTTTGCTCCCAAGGACAATGTAAAGAATGTATTACGCGGTCTTAAAACTCCAACTAAACAAATAATCAAGGGCTCGGGAGCTACCCCACTAAAACATGATGAATTGAAAGGCATGGTCCGCAAGGAACTCAATTTCGACGAAGTGAAGACCAAATTGTCGCGTAGCGCCAAGCTGCAGGAATTGAAGGCTTCCCTTTCGCGCATACAAGAACTTGAAAAGACGCGCAAGGCTCACGAGGATCGTAATAGGCGTTTACGTGAGGGTCAAAGCGTTTCGCCACTGAAGAATGCAGCGCCTGTTGTACAGCTAAAAGAATTTGATAAAATTGAACTGGAAGTATTGACTAGGTGAGTGTTTATATAACTGACCCATCAAACCTATTTTACTATTATAAAATATACATTTTGTTAAGTTCCCAAATAATAAATGCTTTTATATGGCCTACAAACGGTAACCCGGTAAAGCGAAAGAACGTTTAGCAAACCAACTATTGAGGTCATAGTTTTATAAATTATTAAACCACTATCTTCGCTCAGTGGCAGTGAATGGCTAAAAAAAAAACCGACCATATAGAAAACTGCTGGCGTTGCAATTGCCAACTGCTCCGATGGTCATTCAGTTAGCTACGTCATTGTCATACAATAATTCGTTCTCTTCCTAGCATGTTGCGCGTTGCTTTTGCTTACCGTTGCACTTGGAAATCAAGCAGCGCACAGTCTTGTTTACATTTCCACAGACTTTTATAAAATAAACTGCATACATTCGTTTATTACATACCGACAGATGTGTAATTTTAAATGCTAATACTTACATACCTACATGTGTATACCTAGTATGTACATATGGATGTGTGCATTGCATTTACTTATTTTTCATTTTTTAGTTGACCTCTCCTTTTCATATCTTATATTCACAAGGCTCCTTTATTTGCTTTCGGCTCTTTATTTTATCCTTTTCGGGGGTAGTTTTTGTAACGGCCGTTTTGACATGATATGAGAAATTCCTTAAAAAGGCAGGCAGGTAGCCGAGTAATGCTCATATTTGTATACGTTCAAGTGCCAAGGAATTTTCTACCGAATCTTACATTTGTAACGAACTTTTCCGTTTGGGCTTGTCCTTTCCAATGAAATCCGCATGAGCAATTAACCCACTCCGGCATAGATATACATTTGTATGTATATGAGTGTGCTCTATAGTAGATCTTCTCTATAGTAGATCTTCTCTATAGTACAATCGCAATATACAGTATTTAGCATCTACGTTAAAATTTTTACATTTGTACACACATGCTTTCGTACTTAAGACGTACATACATACAGTCAGCGTCAAAAATATGCATACCCAACCTGACGTTTTGACAATTTTATTTATTTATATTTTCCATACCGAATTTGTCTTTTTATGGAATAAAATGCGCTACACCCTCCGCAAAAAAATGCAAAAATTAACGGTTGTTTTTATTAACTTGAAACTTGAAAATTAAAGGGTTTGATGAAAATTTCTAGGTATAACTTGCATTTTCCCCAGTTTTGTATGCAATTTAAAAAAATGTATTTTTGCGGTTTTTACTGTTGAGTGAACTCTTTTTTTTACAAAAAAAGTAAAAAAAAATGGCAAGAAAAATATAAATAAAAAAGTCAAAAGATCAGGATATGCATATTTTTGACGCTGTAAATTCACACATTCCGTAAAAACTGCTTATGGCTAGAAACAGTGCAGCGGTGAGCAAACCGTATCAAGCCAATCCTCGATTACAAATTACAATTATGTTTCAATGGGAGCTCACATAGTGAAGCGCATATGTACATATGTACATACACTCAACAGCAAAAGTCTTGGTATACCATATCTTCAAATATTCACAATATTTTGTACGCTAAAATTGGCTTTTATTTTAATTTTTTAATGTTTTTTTTTTGTAAATATCAATCATGCTTTAAGCAAAATTAAACAAAACAACGTTTCAAGCTTTATATAAAATTAATCTTAATCACATTTACTCATACTTGGTATGGAGAAAAACGCGTGGAACCACCAGAAAAAAAAATTATTAAAAATTATCGCGTTTTCTTAGCCACATAATTTTTACACATTATTATACTAAAGTTGAATGGACTATAAATATAAAACTGCATACTTGAAATAAAAAAAAAAAAAAAAAATCGTTGAATTATCATTAATTTTGTATTAAACTTGTAACCTTGGTTTACCTATATGATTTTGTTTAAAGAATTTTCTATATTCTTAAAAAAAATAAATAAATGACAAATTTTAGCTTGCAAAATATTGTGAATATTTAAAAAAGATATGGTGTATCAATACTTTTGCCGTTAAGTGTATGTATGTACTCCCTTTCTACTTCGCCTTGCTCGCCGCTCCACTATGTGCTTACCCTCCTAGCCCGCTCAAGTAATAATATTTTCATGATTGGGTACCTACTTACGTTTTAAAATTTCAATTGAAATAAATAAACAGTCAATATGCAACCCGAATGAGCATCTCGGGAATATAAAATGTCGTACTTAAATGGGTTTTACTGTATTTAGATATGTACATAATACATAGGCTTAATTCTTAAACGCATTAATGCAAAGCAATGAGCGTCTTTTATTTCTAAATAATGGCTCATATCAATATCCAATATGCGCAACCATGAAAAGATAACAATTTTTAATAAAGTTGCGCAAATTGAATACTTTTATCTCCTATGGTTGAGAAATAAGAGAGGCTAATGCTTTGCATTAATGCGTTTAGGAAGACAGCCATACCTTCATAAATGCATGCATATGTACAAATATGTAAATACATACTTTAAATATGCATAGGCACAACAAAATTATATCTGACCCTTATATGGCACCATCTATATACATATTGAAAACTATCGAATTCGCAGGAAAGGCATATGTACATATTAGGGACGTCAATCCTTTTTAAGTCACGAATATCCCGGGATTAGTCGATTTAAAACCCGGGATTGCTGGAAACAATTTTTTTGTTAGCCAATTAAATTTTTATCACAAATATCCCCTCTCAAGGGCAAAACAAGAATTTTTTGCAACCCTTAATGCTATAATTTCTTTAAGATCGCATTTCCATCAAAAGAAGGAATAATTTTGCTTCGCTCAAAATGGAATAGGTGATGCACTTATATATTTATTTTTTACTTAAATGTGTTAACTTTTTTATTATTACTTAAATATACTGATAATATTTTAAATTGATCTCAGTGATTTAAAAATTTTACATATTGTTACTTAGGCAGTTACTGCTGTACCAAATACAGTCACTTACAAAAATATTTTGCATCGATTTTTTTTTGCAATATTCAAAATATTTTTCATGGTATTTTTTTGTTAATTAAAAAAAATATATAGCTCATTTTACAACAAAATCATGTAAATAAAAATTTCACACTTTAGAGAAAGTTGGTTTAAGTTCACCAAATTATCATAAAAATATAAAACTTTTTAATCATAATTTTTACAAAAAATTCTATTATGCAGTTTTATAGCCCATTCAATTTAATACAATAAAGTGCAATTTTAAAGTTGCCATCCAGGAGTGCATGGAGTGTAAAGATTTTTACATTCGGATGATGCGGTCAAGCCATTTCCTAACTTTTTGTGCGATAGCAGAATCAGCTCTCCTTGCGTGATAATTCTTTTGTATTTACTTTTTTTTTACAGGTTCAATGTCTTTGTAAATTCGCTGGTTGATAGCCTATTCAATCAGCCCTAAAACAACTTATAACTAAGTAATTTTATTTTATTTTCGCCGTTATTTCAGCCCTGCAAAGACATTTAAAACACCAACTAAAATACCACCACCCACACCGGATAAAAATGAGCTTATGTCACCACGCCATACAGATGTTTCGAAACGTGTTCTCTTCAGTCCGGCCAAACAGGGCTCGCCTTCGAAAATGGTTGTACCACCCGCTTACCAACGTTTCATAAGCCTTGCCGAATTGAGTAAAGCTGGACAGCTGCCGTTGCCTTTTAAATACCGTAATCTTATTGAGATTTTCAAGGGTGTTGACTCTGTATGCGCCATGTTCCATAATCGCAAAGAATGTATTACTTTCAAGAAATTGAAACCTGCCGTTCAGCGTATGCTGCGTAAGAATGTCACTGAAACACATTTGGCACAAATCAAAAATGTTTATCCTGATGCATTCATCTTTACACAAATGAAAATGCGCAACTATGGCTCCACTTCGAAGGCAGACTATTTTCAATTGGTCATTTGTCCCAATGTCGACAGCAATGCGGTGGAAAAAGTAATACCTTATCATGTTGACGAGGATGCTGCCGACCACATATTGAGTGCGGCTCAGTCAAGTATCATGAATCCTCTGGTGATGATTGAACGCATGCAGCGCTTCACAAACACTTTAATGCAACGCGTCCTAAACGAGCATGAAAAATTCTTGCGCTCACTGGATCCACCAATCAACATTCCAAAGTCGAAAGTGACACGGTGGCATCCAGATTTTGATTTGGAAAATTGTCCAGATATTGAATGCGCTCATCTACCGCAGCCACCAAATGTGGAAAAGTATTCTTCGGCGCGTGATATACTGTCTACGGCGCGCAATCTTTTCAATTGTGCTACACCAATGGAGCGTGTAATGGAACGCTATGAAGCTAAGATGGAGGCAACGCGCGTGGCAGAGATTAATGCAAATAATGAAGCTAAAAACATAGCTGAGACCAGCGATATAGCGGGAAAGGGCAGTATAGATCAGTTGGCGACCATAGTCGAAGGTCGTGCTTCTGCTACGATGACAACTACATTGAAGACGTCTTCAGTGTTAACAGCGACAGTCGTTCCTTCAAGCGCAACCAGCACTAGCGATGTTACATCTAATTTATTGAAAGGTGTGCCAAAGTCTTTGTTGGAAAAAATACGTGCAAAGCAAGCGGCCAAGGCGCTAGACGCTATGACAAGGCGGCCATCGCAGGACCAGGAAGCCACTATGTACTCACGTCTACCAGAATTGGCACGTCATCTGCGAAATGTTTTCATTACAGAGCGTAAAGGAGTGCTTATGCTGGAGATTGTAATAAAAAAGATACAGAATAGCTTCAGGGCATGTCTGACGGCACAGGAAGTAGAGGCGCACTTGAAACTTATGGCCAAAGAGGTACCAGCATGGGTATCCTTCCACGAGGTACGCAAGACAATGTACCTTAAAATAGCGCGTGAAATGGAACTGAAGAAAGTGATTGCTAAATTGGAAGAAGTCGCAAATGAAAAAAGTAAATAGTACGTAAAAAAACATAAATTTTTCAGACAAGTTTAGGTTTACAATATATGTACGTGTATGTGTGTAAGTAATTTAATTAATTTACTATATGTATAAAGAATGAAGAACTCGCAATTTAATTTTGAATTGATGGGCAGACATTTTTTTGATACGCAAGTAGATTAAATTCACATTTTATCGCGTCTCAAACAGGCTTGAATCTCGTGATATGATTGAACGCCTTGTAACAACTTCGCCTTATGCAAATTTTCTTTAAGTTTTACCACTTCTCATAAGTTGTTTTGTAGTTATAAACTTATTGTTAAATGGCGCAGAAACGCGATTTATTTGAATAATCCACTATATCTTGATATTTGTATGGTATAATTACGGCTACATAGTTTAAAATTTGTTAATTTGATTTTACATCCAGTGTTCGCTAGTATATATTTAATATTGACTTTAGCGCTTTATCTTGTCCAAAAATAAATCATATTTCTTGTCAGGAAAAAATTATATAAACTTAGGATAGATTTGAGTCGCATTGCAAAAGTACATATGGCCAAAAACGCAGACTGTTATATTATATACATTTGCCTCGCATTGCTTTATAAATACTGCTGCAACTCGCTGGAAAAACGCTATCTGATACCTTTTCTTCTAAATACAGCACAACAATTTTTGAAGTACTTGCAACACTCCGCTGTTGAAATATTCTTCACTCCTAAACAACAGGATTTACGTTTATATCAAATATCACCCATACTTTCAGATGCAAGAATAAAATGTTTCATATAGTTTTATTTTAGGGAGTTTCCGCGGTATTTGAAAGCAATGTGAGCGCAAATGTGATGTAACAGTCCGCGTTTTGGGTCATATATACAGTGAGCGTCAAAAATGAGTATACCTTGACGTTTTGAAGATTTTATTTATTTATATTCTCCAGCCAAATTTCCCTTTTTTTATAAAAATATAGTTCATTTTAAAGCAAAAACCACAAAAATCTATTTTTTCAAAAGAGAACTGGAAATGAGTATGCATTTTGTAGCGCATTTATTGTATATGAAAGAAGGTACACAACACCCACCCTCAGCGAAAAAAATTCTAAAAAATCGACTGTAGTGCTTAGCACCTTGAAAGTTGCAGTAAAATTAAATGGGCAACAAAACTGTACACTCAAAATTTGTTTATGAAATCGAATTGAAAAATGGGAAATTTCGAAGAAAATTTCTTGCATTTTCCCCGAGTTATGTATTAAATTTAAAATATTTTCTTGCGGTTTTTGCTGTTGAATGAACTATATTTTTATAAAAAATAGGAACAATTTCGGATGGAAAAAGAAAGTACATAAATAATAGAATCTTCAAAACGTCAGCGTATACTTATTATTGACGCTCACTGTATGTGTATTAGTTTGTCCGGATTTTTTGTTGAATTTGTAAGTGCCAAACATCTTTAAATTCGCATTTTTTAAATCGAGAGTTTTCTCATTTGAAACTTTTGATTCAGAAAACTCTATATATTATTCTAAGCAGTAAAATTGCGTGCAAGATAATTTTTTTTTCGCTTACATATAATACATTTGAATTAAGCTATTCTATTTTTAAGCGTTTTCTATTTCTCTAGACACAATAAAATATTCATGCGAGCACACATCACCTCACTTCATATTGATTTGATTAATTAACCAGTAAATCGTGTTAACATTTTCTTTAACAGTTTATAAATATATGATGTATGTATTTATGTGACCTAAATAAAAATTAAAAATGACAAGTTGCTATAGTTTTGTTATATATTTGGATTCGGGGGCGAAGATGGCGGAAAGAAGATACAACGCGGAGGGATTTCTTTTTTCATCTCGGATCTTCGATAATTTAGTAGAGTAGTGGTTAAGTAACTAACTTGATCTATTACCGTGAAATATCGTACAGGATTACCCGGCAGTTCTGGGTGTCCTACGACCCACTTAAAACGAAAGGTCTCTTAAGAATAAGCAGAGAAAATACCTAGAAACTTACTACAGTGTGCCTGGTGGGATATATGCCGAAAGGATTGGATTGCCCTTCAAGAGGTTCTGTCGCAGTTGCGATGACCCTGGCTCAAAAGTGGCTGTCGTGCCCTTCCTGTAAGAATCAAAATGGCAAACTTACCAACAAAACATTCATCTGAACCACTATTAAACTCTCAATGTTTCTATTTACACAAGATTGTGACTGTTTGCTAAATTATAAAAAAATTGTATGCGTAAATATGTATTGTATTTTGAAGTTAATTGTTTTCGTTATTTGCATATTTTACATGTTTATAGTGCATATTTTTGAATTTTGAATGCGTATTATATGTGCATATCGATTTTTTAGTGCATGAAATTCCGAGCCCTATAAATAAGTATTTTCTATGGCAAATATAACTTTCACACGAGGTATATTTGGCTAAGTTAAACCGACCATTGTGATGTCAAATTTCCCATTCCCACGACAGCCGGTTCTACGTACCGGAATGACTCGGGGTTTTACCCAACCAAGGACAGTTGTTTCGTCGATCTAACTCCGTTTAGGTCGGCGAAGTATCTCAGAAGTTGCTCGTCCATAGGGCTAAATTCGCTACGTATTCTACTCAGGGCTGGCATCGAGTCAGACCCAGGGCCAGAAATCTACACCTGCTGTGTATGCCAGAGACGACTACACCACAACCCCACCTCAGTCAAGTGTAATGCCTGCGAGGGGTGGATTCACCTTAGAGTCTGCTCAGGACTGCGGACACATCGGCAGAGCAGCCTCCACGGCTAACCCCAGTCCACCTGAGCAGTCCCACACAAACACCACAGCACAACAACATAATAACACCACAGACCATACCACAGCCAGTACAGACCACAGAACAAACATAACCGCACCAATACCCACACGCTGCCGCCAACAACTGGTTCCTCCTACAATCTGCACGGTATGTCAGACCAGGATATTCCGTAATGTGACATCAGTCAAGTGAAACGCCTTCCTTGGCTGGTGCCACTTTAGGGCATGCTCAGGTCTGCGCACTACGCGAGATTGGAGAGGAACTTCGAGGGCCCGTGTTGCGCTGCTCGGTCGCAGACCTCAACTGCGACGCCTCCCGCCACCACCACAGGGCGGCAACCACCTCAGCTGCGCACACAGCCAACTGCGGCAAGACCACACACATCCCTCACACCCCGCATCACCACACGTCTCCCGAACCACATGAAGCTCCTTCAATTTATGTAACTGTAACGGGCTTCAGAGCAAGATCGAGAAGATAATTGTGCCGGGTACAACGTGCACCGTCGAGATCGTGAGCGGGATAATGGTGGTGGCTTGGCGTTCATCACGCACCACACCGTGCAGTATCGTCTTATCGAAGCAGACATCGACCGCAGGGATACCACCCTAGAATGTCAGGGCATTTCTATACGGTCAGGCGATGTTGAGCTCGAAGTATGTAACGTTTATATACCCCCTGTCACCTGCTGCCCGGCAGGATATCACCCTGACATAGATGCGCTCCTCAGAAGTGAAAACCGTATGATAGTAGGCGACTTTAATGCGCACCACGATCTTTGACACTCAAGCCTGTCAAACGATCGTAGCGGAACTGACTTGGCTGAGCAGATAGACGATACGACATTCTGCACAATGAACGACGACGCACCCACCAGGATTATGGGCAGCTTCTGCAGCTCGCCAGACATAGCAATAGTCTGCGCTGGTCTGATAAACAGCACATTATGACGACCTATGCAGACGTTGGCATCAGACCATCTGCCCATAGTCATCTCGATCGATAAACCAACCGACCTTGCTTCCACGGAGCACCGAACATATATCAACTTTTCTAAAGCTGATTGGAAAAGCTTCGCGGAATTTACTGAAAACACCTTCGCTGCTCTCCCCACACCAACCGACGTCCACCTTGGTGAACGTAAGTTCCGCAGGGCTGTCGCCGCTGCTGCAGCTCGCTTCGTACCGGCAGGATGTATCACGGACCCACGTCCGAATTTCCCTGCTGATGCGGCTGTTCTAGCCGCTGAGCGTGATAGCCTTCATCAGGCCGATCCCGGAGATCCCCGTATCAAGGATCTCAACGCGGAGATTCGGCAACTAGTAAACGTACATAAGCGGAAGAAGTGGGAAGAGCATCTGAAGACCTGTAACTTCACCTCTGGTGTGAGTAAGCTTTGGTCAACCGTGAGATCACTGTCCAATCCGACGAAGCACGACGACAGAGTCGAAATTTACGACTCGAAACATCTCTTCACATGCCCGGAAAACCCCACAACCCTAACGGCGTCGTCCCTGTGGACCGACCCCATAGAGGCTGCACGCTTCTTCTGGCTGCCGTAAGTGGAACTCGACGACAACGACTGAGATATCAACCGATCTGGACGGGGTTGTTGTAGCCGCTACAACAACAACAACAACATGTCGAATTTCCCAGGACAGCCGATTCTATAGCTACTCTTACATGGGCCGATTACACATTTCCATTGGTTCGGCGTTCTAACCGATTTAAGGTGAAACCTTCCAATAGTTGTTCCTTATTCTTCACTTCTGATTTAGGCTGTTATCGGGTCGAACAACTGACCGAAAACCTATTTCTGCTGTGAATGCCACAAAAGACTCCATCCACTCCACTTGGATTAGGTGCAATCCATGCGACGAATGGAGCCACCTTAAGTCCGAGTGCAAAGCTCTGCAACCGCAAGCGTCGCCCGCGACACTGCCAACCACAACCACCAGTTAGAAAACTCAAAAGCAAGAAGCACAGCGATGTGGTCGGGCCTTAGGGAAGGGGGTTTTAAGCGCGAAAGTTAGTTAGAGTTACGCGGGTTGTCGTCAAACTCAACTTAAGGGAGCTAAAGAAGTGTGCATAGATAAGCATGTTTACCCATAATCCTGTTAGCTGCGTCGTTGTTGTTGTTGTAGCGGCTACTAAGCCCCGTTCGGGTCGGTGCATCCATCAGCGTTGTCGTCAATCTCAGCCAGGGAGAGGCCCACGAAGTGTGCGACTTCCACAGGGGCTGTCCATAGGGACAGGGGCGTCAGCTGAGTGGAGTTCTCAGGGCATGTGAAGAGGTGCCGGGAGTCATGTGGCGACTCTCCACATGCCGGGCATTGATTGGGCACATCCTCGTTGATTCTACTTAGGTACGAATTTAGCCTGCTGCAATAGCCAGAGCGAAGTTGGGCTATTGTAGTGCGGGTCTCCCGAGGCAAAGTTCTGTCCCGTCCACGCCCGGTGGTTGTGTGCCTAGGACGGCATTCACAGGGCGGGAGTCTACATAACTTGAGACTGAGTCCCTGTGAATGCCGTTCAGGGCCTGTCGGTAGGTTGACGGGTCCAGATTGCCCGCTTTGAAAATCAGCTGTCTACATTTACCTTTTTTGTGCGCTTGCCTTTGCATTTAATGACAAAAATAGGGTAAATAGGAATTTTTATTGCTATTATTACTGCATATTATATTGCTATCTATTTTACAGATAAAAAATATGGAGGAAAAGGACAGATGAAATCGAAGGATACAAATTCCCCAAAAGAGTTTTTAGGGAGTGCTGCTGGAGTGACAGTCCTTGGCCAAATATATCTGGGTCGTTCCGGTTACGTAGACCCGACTGTCCCTTCTCTTCTCACCTCCTTCGCCAACGAACCGAGCAGACTCGAAAGCAAGACTTGACGTGTCTGAAAGAGGTCTAAATCTGCCTCACTTAGCCTGTTCCTGTACTTAACGATTTGTAGGATTTGCAGGTTTTATAGGAACAGCTGTTTTCGCCTTTAATAAACCTTATGTGAACGTGGCGTACCAGAACGACTTTGGCTTCACAGCCGGAATGGGAAAATTTTAGTTTGGCATCCCCCGCGTACAAAAAAAAGGTGGCCATGGGGGGGGGGGGGGGGGGGGGGGGGGTCCCCTGTTTTTAAATATATATACTTTTAGCCGCAGGAGGCTTATAGTTTTTAAGTTATTTGTTGTTAAAGTTTGTAAATTGAACTAACCTCTCGGCGCTATTTCACACAATAAACAGAATGCGTTTGAAATATACGTCAACATATCATCAGGAACGTTCAAAAAAGTTTATTCCAAACGTTCAGAATGAATAAAGAAATGCAGCCTTTATGTCTGTTCATGAAACCTCAAGCTTCCGTACGTTTCCAGCCTAATTTTCCGTCAAGATGGCGTGAACAGTTTCCCGTTAAAGCGGTATGTCCATCGGGTTGGCATCACTGCAGTCAGCTGATAAGACTTCCCCTCTTTATTAAATGTCAAATTTGTTTTGGCGCTTCCGTTTGAAGAAAATTGACAAAAATCGACATTTTACGCGGCTTTGGTATTTAATTATTTTGCATGCTTATTTTAAGAGTAAATTGAATTAAAAAATGGAAGCTGAGAAACAACTAGCGGAGGAGGAACAAATGCCAGAGGCAACCACGGCAGAGTCGGGCAAAATAAAAGCCATTGGAAAGGACACCGTACACAGAATATGTTCAGGTCAGGTAATATTTCAATGAAATAACATTAAACCTAATACTAAAAATGCCATTTAACTTCCTGCTAGGTCGTCCTCACCTTGGCAGTGGCTGTTAAAGAGCTTGTGGAAAATTCAATTGACGCTGGCGCAACGCTTGTTGAAGTAAAACTGCGCGATCACGGCTTGGAATTTGTGGAAGTGAGTGATAACGGCTGTGGAGTACTTGAACGTGACCTAGAAGCAATGAGTATTAAAAATTGTATATCTCAAGCGGACATTCAAATATTCATTTACGATTACTTGCAGCTGCTAAATACCACACTTCTAAAATTCGAGATTTTATCGATTTACGAAGTGTCGAAACGTTTGGATTCCGCGGGGAAGCTCTTAGCTCGCTTTGTGCACTCTCTGACTTGGTGGTAGTAACGAGGCATGGTTCTCAAGATGTTGGTATGATTTAAAAATATAAAATAAGGTATTTTAAAATATGCCCTTATGTTTCCACATACATATCTTTTAGGCACACGTATGGAATTGGATCATGAAGGCAAAATTAAAAAGCGAACACCCTGCGCACGAAGTGCAGGCACCACCGTCACACTCACCAATCTATTTGTCACATTGCCTGTACGACGCCGTGATTTTGTGCGTAACATACGAAAAGAGTTCAACAAAATGTGCCAAATTCTACAAGCATACTGTCTAGTTACGCGAGGTGTGCGCATAATTTGTACAAATCAAACTGTCAAAGGAAATAAGTTGGTAGTTATGCAGACGAACGGATCCCAGGAATATCTAGCCAACATAGCGGCCGTTTTTGGTAATCGGCTAACAACAGATCTTCTGTCTTTGAAGTCCATCTGTAGCAATGGACATGAGCTGACTGAGGAGAGTTTACGCGCCGAACTGCAGTTGGAACCTGGAGCTGCTGATAGCATGCAAATTACCGCAGAAGATATAGCCCAACTGAAAGCAGCACCATTTCAATTGGAAGGTTTTGTGTCCAGCTGTAGTCATGGTGCGGGACGGTCATCGAAAGATCGCCAATACTTTTATATAAATTCGCGACCCTGTGAACCAAAAAACGTAAGTGATGAGCTTACCCACTAGCTAATAGCTAAACAATAAAATGGTTTAATTTCTTTTAGATTGCAAAAGTAGTTAATGATACCTATCATCGCTACAATGGCCAACAGTATCCTTTTGTATTTCTTAATATTATAACAGCACGTTCTGATGTGGATGTTAACTTAACTCCCGATAAACGACAGGTTTTGTTAAACAATGAAAAAATCTTGTTATTTGCCATTAAGAAATCTCTCATCAATACATACGGCAACATACCATCTACATATAAACTTCAGAATTCAACCATAGTCAGCATGTTCAAAAAGGAGAACGGAAATGTTACAAACGGGTTGAACGAGTCAACCGAAGAATCGTCAGAAAGTGTGCCAAAGAGTAGTTCGCAAAGGTTCATGGACGTTTTATCACAGTGGAAAACAACTGGTGATACAGTGGGCGTAGCGTCTCGTGTCACTACCAAACGAAAATGCACTGATGAAATCGAAGTGCGCACACTGAAATTAAAGAAGATACACGAATACTTAAATAGAGAAAATTTAAGTCAAAATGCTATGCCGAAAGAGTTCAGTGCGATATCCGACAGTGAAGAAGATGAAAGCGACGAAGTAGCCAAGGACACTTTAAATGAGCAGAAGTCGCTTGACAACAGCATACTCGATTTAGAACGAATAGGCAAGGAATCTAAAGGTAAGTACAAAAAAATTAGCTTTTTGAATGAGACTCGCATCTGTCCTAATGAACACCTTCACTTTTGCAGAATTCGACTCGTTGACTGACAAAACTGTGAAACGCATTGATTGCAAGGTTTTACGAATAAAACCAGAGCCAACACTGCATTTCGTAGAAAAAAGAACAACTTCCGATTTTGTAGATGCAAACTCATACAATAATGACAGCAATGGTGACCGCGCAGATGACGATTCTATGTTTGCCCCTAACTCATCTGCGAATACAACTGTAATATTAGATGAAAGTATAGTTGATGCGGAATCTACTGCAAATTACTACTCCTGTGGAATTATGCGCATCACACTCGAGGAAATTTCGCAAAATATTAAAGCAGAGGAGAAACTAAAAGCTAGAGACCGGGAGTCTAAGAAAGCCAGATTGGAGCGCTTACGTTTCAAAAGTGAGATCAATCCAAGCCAAAATCAAAAGGCAGAGGAGGAATTGCAACGTGAAATAACCAAGGATACTTTCGCTAAAATGGAAATTATCGGACAGTTCAATTTGGGATTCATTATCGTCAAACTGGATACAGATCTTTTTATCATTGACCAACACGCCACCGATGAAAAGTATAATTTTGAGATGTTGCAACGTACAACAGTTTTGCAGTCACAACCGCTGGCTGTGCCACAGCCACTCGAATTGACAGTGGCGAATGAGATGTTGTTGCTCGACAACCTTCCGGTGTTTCAGAAAAACGGGTTTAAATTTGAAATCAATGAAAATGGTAAGATGGTATATTGCTCTTTAGTATTTCCGTAAAAGTGTTAGTTTCATTGGAATACATTTTTTTATTTTAGCACCTCCGACAAAGAAAGTGAAGTTGCTCTGTAAACCATCTAGTCAACAGTGGCAATTTGGTAAAGAAGATATTGACGAATTGATTTTCATGTTACAGGATGCTCCCGCAGGAACTGTATGTAGGCCATCGCGTATTCGTGATATGTTTGCATCGCGAGCATGTCGAAAGTCGGTAATGATTGGCACGGCTTTAAAAACCGCAACAATGAAGCAATTGGTTACGCACATGGGCGAAATCGAACAACCTTGGGTGAGTTGAAGTAAAGAATATACACAATGTAAATAATTTAATCATATAAGGCTTATATTATAAGCTTATAACTTAAGTAAGAAGTTCACTTAAACTACTAGGTTTCGCGTATATTCGATTTAAAACCCTTCGCCACCAATTGCACCACTTGTGAGGGGTCACGTCCTTTTGTTTCCGGTAGATAGCGTTTAGTTAGGATAAACAGCGCCGCACAGACAACAGAAAACGGTATGAATACGAGTGAGCCCCATGCATCCTGTAGAATGGGAAAGAGCATACCCACAGAGAAATTACACACCCAAGAAGAAACGCTACCAAGTGACATGGCCACTGGTCGAGGTGCCACTTCAAATAGTTCTATAAATGGAGCAAAAGTTATAGTGCGTTTATAGAAATGCTAATTCTCTTGCTTCTATTTACCGGATCCAATAAAAAATGGTATGGGAGCCAAACCAAACTGGAAAAAGAAAATGTAAAGAAAGATGCAAATAATGCAGCCATTGGCAAACCAAGGCACGTAGTCCTGCAATGATAAAACATAGGAGAATATTGGTCATACATATTTTCCTAATACTTTTTAATACCGTATTACTAATACTTACGATAAAGTACAGAAAAAGTGAAAATGCCATTAGCGCAATACAACAACAGAATGTTGAGAAGAGCATGAGTGGACGACGATTGAAGCGACCCATTAGATATGGGCCCATTAAAGACACAACCAAGTTGAGAGAACCGGCGCCCAAATTGGTCAACTCAGCAGCAGATGCGGTTAGGCCAGCTCGGAGGAAAATCGATACTGAATAGTAGAAAATCTGCAAAAAAAGAGAACAATATAAAGCGCAAAAGTGACAAAAATGTTTTTTTTTTCTTCAAAGAACGAGAAATGCACATTAGCTGGTTTAACGCTTTTTATAGCGGCAAACCCTAAAAATCATTGTTCTTCCTTGGAGAAAGTCTTTGCAGCAGAGTTGTTCCGAATCGTTTCGCTTTGGGCTGCCATTGAGTCCAACCCATATTTCTGCTGCATATGCCGGAGATGGCTCTATCCGGCCTCTACTTCGACTCTTGCAGCTTAAGCTTCTGGTTCTGAGCTTAGGTTACATAGCGAGTGGATCGCAAGGTATCTGGTCCCTTGTTCTTTACGCCATATGGCACCGTCGGCCTTCAAATCGCACAAAACGCCGGTGTAAGTATGCACTCTGCTCGGTGTTGCAGAACAGAATATATCAAAAGTGACTTCAGCCAAATGCAACTCCTGCGTTGGCTTTATGGCACTTTCCACTCTGCTACAAAGCTTTACTGACGCAAACATCGCGGCTACTAACAACACCCACAGAGGCTAGCGAAACTGGGCCAAGTAGGAAACTCCACTCCCTCATCCTCGACCAGCTTTCCTAGGAATATGCAACTCTGTAATTTTCACTGCAACAAATTCTAGAGTAACTTCGAGGAGATAACCGTTTTTAACGATCCTTCAAACACAGAGCCATACATATCGCCCATTATCTAATTACTTAAACCAGGCGCAACTTAGAAAAAGATATCAGTTTTCTAGACAAGCTAGAAAAACATATTGTGCCCTCTTTTTGCGACTGCCTCCAGGTTCGGTAGATAACCGATCCCTAGGACACAGATAATTTAAAATCTGCTAGTCTACTCGCCCTCGACTAAATTTTTTTTCCTAGTGTAAAATTTCTATTAGCATACTTACTGCGTTAATACCCGACAACTGCTGTCCACCCTGGTAGGCACAAACGATGATCAATGGCAGTCGTAGCTTAGGGTCAGCCAGGACAGGGCCATATCCGCTAACTTGGTCTTTTACATTCGCTTCGACTTCCATTTCAGCCATTTCCCTATTTATAGAAGCTTCGCTAACATCTCCGCGTAATGCTTTCAATTGCCTCCGCGCGCCTTTCTCATCCCCTTTAATAACGTATAACCATTTCGGACTCTCGGGATAGTAAGCCATTGGTGCATAGCAAATCAAGACCAGCACAACATAGAGGCTCATTGCCAAATGCCATTGTTCAGCGTTGCCGAAAACGCTACGTAAACTTAAAATTTGTGCTACTACAACACCAGCTGTTAGTCCCATTGGACAAAAGACGCCCAATACACCTCGCATGGAAAGTGGCGCCACTTCGGCAAGATACATGGGTAGGCAAGCAACGACTAAACCTGCTGCCAAACCAACCAGAAAACGGGCAAGGATAAGAGCCTCCACAGAGTGCAACATGCGGCAGGTGTAGAGGAGTACAGCTCCTATGATAAACAGACCACCACATGAAAGGAAACTGCTTCGTCTGGAAATATAGAATATAGAACGGGGAATGCAAAACGTTAATTAACGTAGTAAATAGTTTAACTATGTTATTGTTAAAACGAATTTTCAGAAATTGTCAAGCAAATGTAACCAAGTTAAAAGACGTATTCGCAAATATTGGGTTGCCTAAAAAAGTAGAAGTATGCATTACAAATTCGGAAATTTGTACGTTTTTTTTTTAAATTAAAGTTGGAGAAATATGTTCATAATTACCTAATTTTTTCGAGAAAAAAGATAGTTTATTCTTAAAATAAAAATTGGTTAGTTTTGATGTGAATAAAAAAAAAACGCATGTCGAGTCTGCTTCCTATTTTGTACTTCACATAACTGTTTAACCCTCTTTTTTGATGACGACCACAGCAAACGTATAAAGACTATGATTTCCGGGTATGTACCTCAAATATCCGGAACCTTAATGCGGAAGGTACCACTGCCCGGCTGGTTGATGTCCTCGGGATGACTAGGCTTGACATCACCCCCATCAAAGAAATGCGATGGACGGGTCAAGGCAAGCGTGGAGCCTTGCGATATCTACTACAGTTGCCATGTAAAAGAGCTCTAATTCGTTGTTGGATTTGTGGTAGGAAAGAGACTCCGTCGCCGATTACTGGCTAGCCACAATCCCCATCAAAGCTAGATTCTTCACTGTGCCCACGCTCCGACGCAAGAGAAGCATGAGGAGTCCAAGGATCTCTTCTATGAGCGTCAGGAGTGTACATATGAGCGCTGCCCCTGACACGATATAAAAATCGTGCTTGGAAATTTCAATGCCAAGGATGGGATCTTTAGGGCCACTGTCGGAAAATTCGGGCTCCGCGACAAAAAGTCCGATAACGGACTAGGACTGATCGACTTCGCCGGGGCCCGAAACCTGGTAATATGTAGTACTAGGCTCGGGAATAAAAATATCCATCAAGCCGCATGGCTGTCTCCAGAACGAAAAACGATAAACTAAATCGATCATGTTGTGATAGACGGAAGGCATGCTTCCAGTGTTTTAGACGTACTCGAACCACTATCTTGTTGCAGCCCAGATACGCACCTGCTTTTTTACAGCAAAAAATGTGCGCCCAATAAGGAAAGCTTAACGTGGAAATACTGCAATCAAAACATACAGCCAAGTTATTTGCCACTCGACTGTCACACCTGCTTACTGAGAGCACTCTTCAACAAAACGACATATGCGAGCAGGGGAACCACATTTCCCGCTCATTAGGTACCGCCGTCGAAGAAGTAGTCGGATTTCAGCGAAAGAACAACTGGTTCGACATCAACTGGAATCGACATTCCCCATTTGTCGATTTCAAAGCCGATTTCGACAGCCCGAAAAGAAGTTGGCTTTATGCCGCGATGACTGAATTTAGCATCCCTGCGAAACTAATACGACAATACGTTGAGCAATACCACCAGATCCGTCAGCCGTTTGATACTAAACGAGGTTTCAGAGACTCTCTATCGTGTGATTTCTTTAATCTGATATTGGATAAGATAAATAAGAGCCGCAGAAATGAACCGCTCAGGCATAACACTTTGCAAGAGCGTACAATGCTGGCATATGCCGACGACATCGACATTATCGGTAAATATAATGGCTACGTCTTTTCTGCCTTCTTAGGATTAGATAGAAAAGCAAAGCGAATGGATCTGGTGGTGGACGAGGGCAAAGCGAAGTACTTATATCCTGTTATCAAACAAACAGCAGAGGATACGCGGCTTGGCACCCGCATCACTGTTGGCAGTTTGAAAAACTAGACGACTTCGTTTATTTGGGAACCAATAATAATGTCAGCCGTGAAATCCACTCTACCAACAGTCGCTCTCTTTATTGACGCTCTAACCACCTAAGCGATTTTGGCCGAGTCCAAAACAGCACACCAGTCATTTCTCTTCTGTGTCAACTGACGCCAGCTGGAAATGCCTAGTGAATCCAAGTCCTTCTCCACCTTGTCTTTCTAACGCAGAGGCGGTCATCCTCTTCCTCTGTTTCCAACATCGCGACCAGCGTTAAATACTGTCAGAGCATTAGCGTTTCTGTCCATTCGAAGGACATCGCCAAGCCAGCGCAGCCGCTGTATTTTAATTCGCTTCACTAAGTCTATATCGTTGTAAAGCTCATACAGCTCATCGTTCCATCGTCTGCGGTACTCGCCATCGCCAACGCATAAAGGCCCGTAAATGTTTCGCAGAATCTTTCTGTCGAAAACTCCCAAGAGTCGCTTCATCAGATGTTTTCATTGCCCATGCCTCCGTGCAATACACCAGCACAGGCATGATAACCCAGCAAAAAATCGATAATCGCTTTTAGTGGTAACGTGTTCTAGAAGGCATAGCGTTATAATGCCTTAAAATTTTTTCGCTTCTTTTAGGCATTGCCGGTAACGCAAAGTAGAATGTCCTACAATATTTTATTTATTTCGCTTCTTGGTTTCATTGCCGGTAACGCAAAGTAGAATGTCCTACAATATTTTATTTATTTCGCTTCTTTGCTTCCTTTCGGGGAATGCCAAGTAGAATGTCCTTCAATATTTTATTTGTTTCGCTTCTTTGCTTCATTTCAGGGAATGCAAAGTCGAATGTCCTACAATTTTTTTTTCGCTTCATTGCTTCATTTTGGAGAATACAAAGTAGAATGCTACATCGTAGTCAGCTGAAAAATAGAATGAATATCCAAAAATTCTTTTTCTACTGTTACTTTCTGTGGAAATTTGTCCCGCATAAAAATCATGTTTTGCTTTGTTCAATTTGCAGCGAAGTTGAAGTCAGTCAATGAAGTGAAGTACAAGAGTGAGGAAGTACAATTTTAAGCTTAATTAAATATGCATGTATGTACATACAGATTTTTAAGTAAAATCTAAATACCTAAATACATACATATGTATGTATAAAAAACTGATTTATACAAATTTTAATTAATTTTAATCTTTTGAGACATTTTCTGATTTCAATTTAATATAAATAAGTATGTACTTATCTAGGCATTCTACATTAGTTTGTTTGTAAGGCATTCTTTGTTCGCTTCTCTGGATTCTGTTAATCCATGCGTTGTCCCTTCGTTTGAAGGTAATGCTGCGGGTAAGGGCTTACCGCCAATGACATGCCCATGTTAAAAGAAGGCCTTCTTGAAGCGAAAGGGCAAGCGATTCCCATCGCCCAGCTCGTTTCCACTTTCGTTTCTGTGGTAATCGTGTTTTTTGCTGGGAAGTGACTTATAGGCGTGATCTTTGTACGACGAGAGAGGACTTTACTCCTGAATTGCCTACTCAGTTCAAATCAGCACTTGTTGGCAAGAGTGATTCTGCATTGGATTTCCGTGCTGACATTAGGTTTGTTCGTCGAAAATCCAGCAAGAATTATCCAACACTCAAAATATCAGAGAGTAAGAAAAAATTCTCTCAAATTCGCTCTCATGTTGAGAAACTTGCAAATTTCTGCACGAACGCAAATTTGCAGGAATTTGCAAGTTTCGCTGCCAGCTGGCGTCCACGGTTGCATTTCAAACATAAAAAATTTTTATAGAATTTTTAAAATTCTTTCGGATGGCCAAAAACAGGATATACATGTATATTTCTTGTTGTTCTGACTTTCTTTAACATACATTTCAATTTCTTCATCGTACTAGCTGTCGGGTTTCTTAAATCGACTCTGGTTGCAATTGCATTCCGATTGCGAATACCATTTTTTTTCAGCCGAATTAAGTTCAAATCATTGGAATTAACTAAATTAATTATATCAACAATTATTTACTTCCTTTCTTCATAAAAAAATCGCTCGTGTTTATAAATTTTTAAATTTAACGAACTAATTTATTCAAATTATTGTAGACAAAAATGCAACCATGCGCCACAACCACATGTTTTTCGTGTTTGCAAATTCTTGCTGGCAAAATTTTTTCCAGCAAGAATTTGCAACATCTCTCCAAGAGAACTGTCACTTTGCTCTCACAATTTTTGAGTGTTGGATAATTTTTTGGTCTGCACGAACGCGATTTGGGCAAAAATCGTGATAATTCGTACAAATTCGTACAAATTTTTTGCTCGACGAACAAACCTATTATTATCGGTGTTAATGCTGGTTCTCAAGTAAACGAAATTCTCTACTTTCTCGAAATTATAACTGTCAACAGTGACGTGGGTGCAACGTCGCGAATGTGCTGACTGTTTGTTAGATGACAGGAGGTATTTCGTCTTGTCATCGTTGACCGCCAGACCCATTCGCTTTTCTTCGTTATCCAACTTGGAAAAGGCAGAACAGACTTCGCGGTTTTTGTTACCGATGCTGTCCGTGGCATCGGCATAAGCCAGCAATAGCTGATCCGATAGTGATTACCACAAAGAATTGGAAGCGTATGTACACGTACAAGTCCTGTTTTGTTTTCCACTTGAAAGAATTAAAAAAAATTATGTTCGAATTTCGAACTTCGAAATGCCAGCTGCTAGCGAAGCTTGCGAGAGTAAGATACCTTGTTCTCTGAATTTTGTTGCTTGCTAATTTTTTCTTACTTTTCCAAACGAACACAACTAATGCATATTTTCGTAGAATTGCTATAAATTCGTTTAAAATAAAAAAATAATAAATTTATGATGTCTATTAAAAAAAAAATAACAAATCCGCTGAGCTGTTAGTAAAATTGTAAAGGTGAATGTGCATCATAATTTTATTGTTTCAAGATTTCTGAAAAAATTCTTGTATTTTTATTCGATCAAAAAATATTTATTTCTAACAATTTCACAAAATACATACACTGCCGGAACAAAGTATTGGCACATCAAATTTTTCACAATTATGCAAAAGTTTTTATTCTAATATATTTCTGCCAATTTTGTATAAAAATGTGGTTCATCAATCAACAATAATTCCTAGATACTTAAAACTTGTACTTTATTATAATAAAATTGATTGGGCTACAAATCTGCATACTCAAAAAAATTCTAAAAAAATCTGATTAAAAAGTTGAAAATTTTCATCAAAATTTGCTGAATTTTCGCGAGTTTTGCACAAAGTTATTTTTATGTTTTATGTTGTAGAATGAACCATGTTTTTATACGAAGTTAGCGGAAAAATATTAGCATAAAAATTGTTGCATATATTGTGAAAAATTTGCTGTGCCAATACTTTGTTCCGGCCGTGTACATGGAAACTTCAAAGCCCCGGCTGCAAAATTAAATATTAATTGATTGCAGAATAAAAAGAGCCGCTTTCTATTTTTCCATTTCCTATAATTCTGGAGCTTCCAGCAAAAAAAATCTACAAATTTGATTTTCGTGTGTATTTTTGGAACATCCTAATGTGCATGCATACATACAGTATCGGTCATATCTACAGCACGGCATTTCAAAGTGATATTGTGTGTCACTTATGTTTATTTATTTATTTTTAAGAATTTTCAATTAAAATTTAGTTCATTCTCGGACAAACCCCATATATACCCAAGTTCAACAATTTGTAGAAAACTACAAAAAAGTGTAACAAATTTTCAACTAAATTTCAAACTTTTTTCTCGGAAGTGATAGAATTTTTTTGAGTACACAGTTTTTTAGCCTCTGCAATTTTAGTCTGATAATGTGCAAATTTCAAGTGGCTACGAATTACCGTTAATTTTTTAGAATTTTTTTTGTCGCATTGGCTTCCATATAATGAATAAGCTCAATTTATTTGTATATGGAAGAAAACCGCAACACCCTTGGCGAAAAAAATTCTAAAAGATCAGCGGTAACCGGTTACGTAGACCCGACTGTCGTGGGAACAGGTCCTTGTGACTGGTGTAAAATTATTATGTATGATAATAAAAGTTTCCACAGACAAAATTTGCTGTTTCTTTTAATTTTTTTCAACAGGTTACCGAAGTGTAGTAATTTAAAGGACATTTTAAAATTGATGTCGTTTTCCTCTTTTGATCCATTGACCCATTTCATTTTGTTACTTTATTTAATTTTGAGACAAATTTTCAAATGATAAGATTTTTCTCTCGGAACCTAAAGCTGCTAAATATGTATTTATTTGTATGTATGTATGAATGGGTAGCCATTTCAGTCGTAAAATGTGTGCTATTATAGCTCATAATCTTGACATTGATATCAGTTGCTCGACATTTTGATCTTTTTAGCATTTTATGACGTAGCTATTTTTTTTTTTTTTATCTATATGTATACTCATTTTATCATATTCTGGCAGCGTTTCGAAGATAGGTTTTAGGAATGCTGTTACTTATTCCAAGTTTTTTGATGCAGAAATGTTCCTAGAGCGTCTAAATGCATTTTTGTAGCAAAAAGACAATTAAAAAAAAAAATCCGCTTAAGTTTTTTTGCGGTTAGGGCTCGACCCGAAGCAGTTTTCCGTGCTTTTATAACAATTTTCAATAACCGATCCGAGTGGATCCGAGTTTTTTAGTCAGTGATACCGGATTTTTTAAGACAAAAAAAAATATAAAAAATAAAAAACAAAAAATTTACACTATTTTTCGTAATTTTCAATGCGTAAAATAAGGCCTTTTTCGAACTTTTTAGAGTACGCGTAAAACAAATATAAATCAAAATTTTTACAATTAAAAAAATATATGTACATATTTTTATATTATTACCTTCCAAATCTGTTAGCCACTTTGGCTCCCGTTAGCGATCCTATCGCGCCGCCCACGAGAAAAATTGAAACAATCGTCGACCACAAAATATTGATGCCCGTCTCAGTCAGGTGCCAGTCATAACGTTCTATCAGCGTTTGATTACACCAACTTCGCATAAACTACGTACAAATAAATAGCTCATAAAAAATATCTGTATCTAAAAATCTGCGAAAAAATAATGAGTGGCGACGCTACGCACCTCAGCAGGACTATTCATTACACCAACAAAGTAACCACTCGGCACAGCTGCACCGATTGTCGATCCAAAAGCAACAAAGGCGAGTTGTTTCGTCCATCGTCCTTCCTAAAATGGCAAGGACAATGAAGATTGAAGAGTGCAATTGCAATAGTAAACAATACGCCACACTTGCTTGCCCCGTACATTGCGCAAACTTTTGTCGACTAGTTCTTGTTCTTCATGCTGCTTCAAGGCCGGCAAACTCTCTTGCGATGCCTTCTTGTAGATCTCCGGTACCTCACACTGTGACGCCTCCATTTCGTTTGACTTTGTTCACATAATCAAGAATGGTTTTTAATATATATAAAGCAATTTAGATGCTACCAGTGTTTTTTTTTATCTATGCGAGCACCTCTGGATATGTACATACATATTTTATAAATGATATCGGCGTTAGATTAGCTCCTGTTTAATATCTGAGATGAATGTATGTGTGTATGCAGGTAAGCATGTACTTCAAAGATAACGTCGAATGTAATTATGTAGTTGTGAAAGTTAGATGCCATTGAAATAAGCGTTTCGCTATTAATTCATACTAAATTGATAAGCTGATGTGCTTGAGTGAAGTGCTAATTTGGTTTGACGACTAGGTATCCGGAGGGTAAGGCAATAAACAAAGCAAATATCTATTTGTTGAGTAAATAAAAGAATTATGTGACATTTATATTTACGTGGGGTGATCCACGATAAACAGAAGAAAAGTCAAAATCTCATTTTACTGAAACCGTACTAAATATGCTTTGTCATCTAATTTTGGAGCCCGTGCTATCTCGCAAAGTTCTCAGGCAAGACAATGTTTTTTTTCCAGAGGAGGAAGCAACGAATGCCTGAGCGCAAGTACCGCCATTGTGAGACTCTAGCCCAATAAACCTCCTACCGTCGATGTACCGATCCCGCAAGTACCACTGTTATGTATTTCACGTGGAGGGGTGGGGGGGCAGTTTGAGCAGGAAGTTCTAAGTCCGTTACTCCTCATATGATTCCACCCACCTGTTGTTGGTTTCGTATTAAACCTACCCACCCCATTGGTCCGAGCCGAGTAGCTCCCGGAGACTCCCGTGTGCATCACTGGTCTAAATGCATCGATCCAGATTGTAACTCCATATAAGAGTATTCGGGCTACCATCGGGCTCTGGAGTTTTTAGAGTTAGGTTTATGCCTCCTCTAAGGATCTCATCAGTGGTTACTGAAGGGATACCAATGTAAGCACGCTCCGTGGTCTTACGAGCATGTGCACAATACCCTGAACAGCCCTGATATATTTTTATGTTTTTTTTTTTCTGTTTCTTTAACTCTATCAAACGGGACAAAAAAACACGACCTGTAGATAAATGTTACCAACCTGAACTTTCAACTTCGTCTCTAAATTAAATGTCCAATTTGGGCTCTCTCTTTATCACTCGAAGCCTCCTAGTGCCCAGTTTCTGACGGTCGCCCATGGTGAGAGTGCTATAACTAGTTGCGGACCAAGCAAGACATGCTCTAAAAGCATAGTCCTCCGTATAAGCTGAGGCAAACCTACATTCTTAGAAGTAGAACGGTAAGCTTTGAGTAGGCAAAAGAGTTCCAATAGTTAGACATTAAACTGAAGTCCAAGGGATTTCATATGACAGAATTCAACGTTTTCTCCCTGGGAAACTTTGTATGAAAATGTTGCCGGTTGAAATTACTGCAACTGGATGATTTGGCCTACAACGTCTTCTCTTTTCCCTCAGGGCTCTAGGAAGTATTTCCTGTTTAAGAAACTCTTGAAATGATATAAACACTAAATGTAGTTAAGACTTCTATTTATTTGATTTGTTAAACCATGTTTCATGTATTTTCATCAATTACTACTACTTTTTGTCACCCCTCGTGAATAAGTACTTTTGTATATTAAGACGCATCACTCCATAAAAAAAAAATCGTTACTGTTTTCCATTCAAATTGTAAAATTTATTCGGCCTTATCGCGATTTTCATGTGAGCAAATATTCCCAAAAATTATAAAGCAAAACAAAAACAATTTTTCCCAATTTGTTTTTGTTTTGCATGTTAAACTATGGGAGCGATTTATTCACATGTAGTTGGCAATATGGCTGATTATATTTAAAGACTTTCGCCAAAATAATTCGGAAAAATATTAAGATTTACGTGAGCTAGGCACATTTGCAAATACCTGCAAAAACGAGTTTTTTTTATAAATAAAATTAGTTTTTAAACATATTATTTGCAGAAAATGCACTCAAATGATAGAAGAGTTTAAGCTTAAAAGAGGTCTGCATACAAATATTTAAAAGTTTTATCAATCGCAAGTATTTTCAAATCGGTCTAGCTCACAGCAAATCTTAATATTTTTCCGAAATATTTTGGCGAAAGTCTTAAAATATCAAATATTTTATAATTCAGGTGGAAAATCCGCAACATAATTTAGTGAGCCACCCTAATGTATATGTGTATGTACCTATTTAAGTATAAGTATTTTTTTTTCTGGATAAAAATACGTTCTTATTTAGAAATATGAGTGGAATTTCACGACGAAATGTATTCTGATGTGATAATTAAAGAAATTACTACTGAAAATAATTTTGATATTTAAATACAGATTTAATTTGTTTCACATATCTCAAGAATTGTATTTCATTTTACTCACACTCGTCTGCCATGGCCGGGAGGGAGGCTACTACTCACGTGCCGGTTGATAACACTACGCTGGGGGAAAAAAGTAAAAGAAAAATGTTTTTCTATTTAAGCATTAGCGATAAAACATATGTACAGTATCGGTCATATCTATAGCACGCCATTTCAAAGTTATATTGTGTGCAACTTATGTTTATTTATTTATTTTTGAGAATTTTCAGTTAAAATACAGTTCTTTCTCTAACAAACCCCATATAAACCCAAGTTTAACAATTTGCAGAAAACTTCAAAAAAGTGCAACAAATTTTCACCTAAATTTCAAACTTTTTTCTCCGAAGTGTTTGAACTTTTCTGAATACACAGTTTTATAGCCCAATCAATTTTAGTCTGATAATGTGCAAGTTTCAAGTGACTGAAAGATACCGTTGATTTTTTAGAATTTTTTTCGCCAAAGGTGTTGCGGTTTTCATCCATATACAAATAAATTGAGTTTATCCATTATATGAAAGCCAATGCGACAAAAAAAAATCTAAAAAATTAACGGTAATTCGTAGCCACTTGAAATTTGCACATTATCAGACTAAAATAGCAGTGGCTAAAAAACTGTGTACTCAAAAAAATTCTAACACTTCCGAGAAAAAGTTTGAAACTTAGGTGAAAATTTGTTGCCATTTTTTGAAGTTTTCTACAAATTGTTAAACTTGGGTTTATATGGGGTTTGTTAGAGAAAGAACTGTATTTTAATTGAAAACTCTTAAAAATAAGTAAATAAGCATATACGGCACACAATATCACTTTGAAATGGCGTGCTATAGATATGACCGATACTGTATGTATTTTGTAGATTACACCGCATATTGTGGGATAAGCTCAGCCCAACTGCTTGCGTACATTCTACTTACTTTTCTACTTTTATTATACTTTTTATACTTATTCAGTGCAACATTAGATTGGAAGCTCAAGTGGAAAACCTGTGCGGGTCGAACTGAAGGTAAATCGACTACAGAAAGTTTTCGAACAGTGTCGGAGAGCATTTGGATGCCTGGGTGTAGTGCTTCCTAGCAGCTGTCTAGGATTCAAGTAGAGCGCTTTTGCGTTATTTTGTTGCACTTCTCAGTTTTCATGGCGACAGAAGCTTTTTCTATAAAATCACCAAATTTTTTTCAATTGGTATAGATATTACAAATAGCAAAAGGAAAAAAACTGAGAAAGTGCCCCGTTTTCCACGATGAAATTCCAAAGAGGGCTATCCAGTGTCACGGCTTCGGGTTGATCTAAGCAGGCTCCTGCCTTCGCCAATTTATTAGCCTAGGGAAATGCTTGTATCCCTCCCCAATCGTAGAGATAGATCAAAACCTAGTTCATCACACTAGACACCGTTATCCATCTTGGATCCGTCGATGTATAGAGAGTTAGCCTCTCTTTCAATCACTCGCTCTCTTCTCCATTCTTTTCTGATTGGAAAAGCACTTGCACGTTACAGCCGAAGTCTAGAATGTCTAGCATATAATCTGTCTTCCCTCCTAATTGCATTTCATTAATGATCAACCTATCTCTGAGTCTGACCATCGATTTCATAGCCACTTCTTTCATATGAAGATCGATAGGGAGCAGGTGGATGATAGTATTTAGCGCCTACTGCTGTCTATATCCGGGCTACCATACCGGAGCGCCGTATGTCAATATTGATCTAATGATAGCGGCATATGTATGTGAATTCACATCACAAGTTTAGGTTTAGCCCCCAGATTCTCTTGCAAGTCTTTTTCGATTTCGTTTGCTATCCAGACCCATAAAAAATCATCATCAAAAAAAAA